TAACGGTCGCCGCCTGCAGTAAGCACTCAGCCTGTGACCACACAACCAATCACAAGCCGAGCAGTGCCATCACAACCAGTACAATGAAGTAAGCATGTATCAGACTCGACACATAAGCAGCCCACATGCACCACTTTAATGATTTTGCCACCGACCTGCTACGCTTCAAAGGGCGATTCAAGTTCACATGGACCAAACATCAAATTTTCAAAAGTTACTTTTAAAACTTGGAAAATCCATCGAAAAAAGGTGCCGGAACACTGTTCCGGTACGTTCTATGACAAAAAAAGCACTGAATGAAACAATTAATACAATGTTGAATTATCCTGTGGTGAGGTGTCCTGCAATGAGTTGGCCACAGCAAGTTGTCCTAGGCCCACCTGTGACAAGTGAATGATAGTCATTTGCAATGGCAAGGGTGACAGGGAACTGTGGTGCTGCAAAATTTTAAAAGCTTCAGGTTCCTCTTTTCTGCCAACCAATGCTGAGTCAACCAGTATCAAGCACAGATGGCAGGTTTTGCCCTCAACACAACTGTATCAAACCAGGTAGGATCCACAATATTATTTATTTTAATTTTCTGCTGCAGTGTTTCCTAAACAAAACTGCAGCACATGTTAATTAATATAATACAATATCCATAGAACTTTTACTGTGAACAAGTGCCACCTACTAACTTATAGTGTAATTGCAGGGTGAAGAAGAATTTCAAAATCCACATGCATTTTATAATCTATTTTTATAGCATGAGTACTGCCATAAGTTACGATATAGCTCTGAAATAAAGAGAGGTCACATAGCTATCCTAGGTTCCTTACAGGGAAGATCTAGCAACTATATGCAGAGTTATGCAATGGTGTGTGTGCTGGACCAGTTATGTAATCATCTGGCCAGCGTATATACTTGAGAATTGTGTTATTGTGTTTAGCATTTACCGGGTTAATGTTGTATCATTGAGAGAACTGTATGTTAGAAAGTTTAGCATCTAAAGAGTTAAACGCTGTTTCCTTAAGAGATGGCTTATGGGTAATGTAGTCTTAGCAGTCAGTTACTCCTATAGTTTGTCAAGTCAGTAGGAGGTTTCAAAGTTTATTGCAATACTTCCTGGCTTCCTATATGTAGAAGCCATTGTGAAGATAAACACGAGGTGATATGTCCCATAATAGCCATGGGGTGAGTCTATCATTAATTCTTCACTGTTGGACCAGAACAGTGTGTGAATGGAAACTTTAAAGATTGTTTAGGAATGCAAACAGTACAAAAATTCATTAGCATTAATATCTGATTAAAGTTAAAATGCTGTAGCATGTGAAATATAAAAACAGTAAAGCAGTAGTATAGCCAAACAATAATATGAAAATGCATGATAAAAGTAGTATAAGAGAAAATAGAATACTGACAGTGCCAAGGAAAAATTATATTTGAAAAAATATTTGGTGACTTCAACCACTGAGAACATACAGTAGACTGCTTTTACCCTATGGATACAATCAGGATGCAATTTCTTGGTCATGACAAGATACTGGGACCTAGATTCCTGCAAAGAAACTAGAACCTACACCAAAATATTGCAGCAGAGAATGTTGCTGATCGGGATTTTAGCGATGTCATTCCTTTTTCACTTTCTTAACAGCCACGAATTCTATCTCAAAGCATGCTCAGTCTTCATTCATTTGTATGAGATTTGCTTTTCAAACTTTAGAAGGATTTTAAAGGGTTGGATTTGGGGGGGATTATGTCTCTTTGTGTAGGTTTGCAAAGCTTTCTAAATAACTACAGTTTTTGCTGTAGAAACAGCAACATAGGTGATCCACATATTGGAAATAAAATGAATGACCTGGTCCAGCATTATTGATACTTACATTACATCTAAATAGATAATCTATTGTATTAAAAACATTGCTGTCTTTTACTTTTATGGACTACTCCAGCAAAAGATGTCAATTGCAGGTTTAGCTGCATTTACTGACATCTCTTCAAACATTTAAAATAATTTCCCCCTCATTATACAAAATAACAGAGTTGGAAGGGGCCTTGGAGGTCTTCTAATCTAGTCCAATCCTCTGTTGAGTAGGAGACTTTGAACCATACTGGGCAAACGGCTGTCAAATCTCTTCTTAAATCCTCCAGTGATGCAGCATCCACAACTTCTGGAGGCAAGCTGTTCCACTGATTAATTTTTGTTACTGAAGGAAATTTCTCCTTAATTCTAGATTGGATCAATATTTGATAAGCTTCCATCTGTTACTTCTCATCTTGCCCTCAGGTACTTTGGGGAAACAATTGACCCCCCTCTTCTCTGTGACCATCCCTCAGATATTGAAAGACTGTTTTTATGTCACTCCTAGTCCTTCTCTGTCAGACTAGATCATGGGTAGGCAACCTCGGCTCTTTTATGACTCATGGACTTCCTGAGCTGACTCAGGAATTCTGGGAGTTGAAGTCCATGAGTCATAAAAGAGCCAGGTTGCCTACCCCTGGACTACACATACCAAGTTCCTGCAATCATTCTTAATATGCTTTAGCCTCTAGTCCCTTGTACATTGAGTACATTGAGGTGAACTAACGTGCACTTTTGTACTCATCTCTGGAACAATTGGTTTTGATTACTCTTTTCCCATCATGTCCTAGATCCCAGATCTTCAGAAACCAAGTTCTGCACAAGATTCATCCAGTTTTCTACTGTAGTTGCTTTGTGTATTTATCTTGGTCTTAAAAAATTCTTGTATGATAGATGCATTCCTTAAATATGCAAGAAATCAGGAACATTGGCAATTGCTTTTAAAAGTTTATTATTCCACTTTTTAAAAAATGCTTTCATCTCCTTTAATTTGGAGTTCAAATTAAAATATTAAAAATATTCAATAGTGCCTCTTGGCACTAGTGTAATAACAAAAGTATCAGGCTACAAAGAAGTATCTAAAATTTTTCTTTATATACAAAGCCAGTGACTTCGAGCCAGTTCCTTTCCCTTGAAATGCAACTTTCAAAAGTACCAACAAGAAAAGTGCAAGAGTCAAGATTGACTTGAAGGAACAACTGTCCTTTTCTAGTTGGAACAAAAGGCACTGGATCGAATCCTGGCAACATCTCTCTTGTGTCACTCCACCGAAAAGGAAAACCCCCACACCAGTATGTCATTTAGTAATGACGAACACACCGGCCAAAGCACATTCTCTACTGGATGTCATTCCGCATCGTCGTTTGATAAAGTACCACACAAGGCTACATAATTTTGTTTAACAGAGAAAAGGATATTTCGCTTACTCTTCGCTTCAGCTCCTGGCAAATTTTCGTTCACACAATCAACCCCGTTAGAAGCACAGCTGCTTTGCTTGTCGTCCTTTGCACAAATCGCGAATGGCCAAGTCTCTATGGCTGCTAACGAAGCACTCCCTTTCTCGGCTCTCTTGAGTGGTAATTAAGAAGGAAAACCCCAGATCCGGGAGTCAACGTAGCAATATCTCAAGACTACAGCAGGTGAAACCCCGGCCGGGTAAAAGCAAGAGTCGCCGATAATAAATGGGCGGAGCTAAGGGGTACCACCAGTAGTTGATTGGTGCTCTAAGAAACAGAGTGGGCCTTCTCTTAGTCACTAGAATCGGATTAGTTCCCGAAGGAATCCAAAGGGGGATGATTTCCTTATATTCGCGCGGCGCGGACAGCATTTTCCATTTCTTAAATCGGGCTGATTCGGATCAGACTTTCCTGGAGAAAATATTGGAAAAACTAGGGTGTCGATCTACGATGTTCCTGTCCATAGTTACATTTAATAGCCGCCTCTATACATCAGTAATCGGCTCTACAGTCACGGAGTCATCGAGCTGCCGTTGAACCGAAAATTATTAGAATTAACATCGAATTGCGCTCGATCCCTGGCGAATTACGTGGACAAGCGGAAAAAGATTTCCGTGGCTTTGTGTCTATGGAGATTCTCAATCATTCAGGTCATAGTTGTTCCAAAGGTGCTTTTTTGACTGGACTTTGTTTTTCTTTGAAGACGTTTTGCTTCTCATCTAAGAAGCTTCTTCAGTTCCACTCTGGGATTTCCGTGGCTTTCTTTTAGCCTCCACTTGGAATTTGGAGGTTCAGTAGTATTTCTCAGTCTCAACAATTTCCTGCTCCACGGCTGGGAAATTCTAGGAGTTGAAGTACATATATTTTAAAGTTGCTGAGATTGAAAAACACTGGGCTAGGTGTTGTCTCCTAGCTGTCAGTTGGTTTAACTCCTCTGACAACTCGCCCTGGGGTGGATTTTAAGTCCGGGCAAAAACATAATTTGAAGAAGGAACAGCTTTCCTTAAGTCATTTTGATTAAACACGCTCTTTATTTAATCTAATCCACTGGTTAAATTAATTGGTAGATAAATCTCATGGCCTTCTCGAGTCCGCCCTGTTAGGTGGCATCAGGTCATTCGGGGGAAAGGGCAAGCCCAAATGAACGCAGAGACTTTAAGGCTGAGCAACTAGTAATTTAATTTTTTTTCTATTCGAACCTGGTTAGTAATACTTGATACTTACTGTAAGCATCGCAAATTCAATAGGCACCAGGGGTTGATCAGGAATGGGAAGCACCTATGCCGCCCAGCCCAGCTACATAAAAAGCTTAGAAATGGCTTAGCAACAGCCTGTCTTTCACCAGTGTTTCTCAAACTCAACAATTCTAAGATGCGTGGACTTCAACTTCCAGAATTCCCTAGCCGGTTAGGGAATTCTGGAAGTTTAAGTCCACGCATCTTAAAGTTGTCAATTTGAAAAACATTGAGGAACTATAAAGCTACAAGATCTGATAGCGCCAAAGACTCATACTGTAAATCTACCAACGTATATTGCCCTTCATCCAGAGGGCTGCAGTGATTTAAAATGATAATAATAAAGATCGAATTCCCTGAAAAGCCGCAAATTGAGCAATCTGATTTGCTGCAATTAGCTGGGAAACATGAATGAAACCGTTCCTCTTTAAACTGTAAAGAAATCTCTCCTTCCGCCTCTTGGGCGGATTATTCAGGGTCCGTTCTAGGAATTCGTCCAATAAACTCGTTGCTAAAACTGATCAAGTGTTTCAAGATGGCTGCTCTCAGGGAGGAAGTGTGACTTTAGTTTCCATGCGGTATATGTTAAAATTCGGTGAGTTTTACAATACATTTAGATACATACAGGAATTATTTTCAGCTTTTTAAAAGACAGAATAAAGTAAACGTGGTGAGCTTTTTTTAGTAAAACGTTTAAATTCAAATTTCTTATTACATCATTGCGGTACCATAAGAATATTTGTAATCTGTTTTGATGTTTTATTTAAAAAGTTTTGCGTTTAGGCATAAAGCTATTTGCAGGTTCAGAAAAAGGCTCAGCAGTCTTACTTCCATGTAAATAAACACAATTGAGATTAAAAGTTTAGTCTTCAATTCACAGCCGGGGAATTAGAGATCAGCCATGCTAGGATTTCTAAAATAAATTGAAGTGCACTTCAAGAAACAAAACAAATGTAATAAATGTGATTTAACATAAAATTTCTAATTATTACTGTGCTCACTTAAGTTCTAGTTTTTTCTCCATCCTTCCTTTGTTCCTTCAGGCTTGGTTTTTTTATAAAGTTTTATTGATTTTTTTAAACAAAATTCAATAGTAATCATTCAGCAAAAACGTGTTGTCTGAGTATCTTATTCATTAATACAAATTAAATTCCTAATCCCTAAATCTTTTCTCTAACCATTGATAAAATAGGTCCCAAGTTTGAAAATATTCTGTTTCTTCTTTTTCTTTCAACCTTAAAGTAAGTGTCCATTTCCACAGTCTAGTATTTTTTTTAATAATTTCTTCTTGTGGTATTTCTTCGTTCTTCCAGTATTGTGCAAATATAATTCTTGCTGCTGTTATCACATGTAAAATCAGTTATGTACTTTGTTTATCAATTTTTTTCTGGCATTATACCTAGAAAAAAAAATCAGGTTTAAAGTTTATGTGTTTCTCTAACATTTTTTCTAACAAAGTATGAATTTTTGTCCAATATCTCCTTGCTTTAGACATGTCCACCACACATGATAATAAGTACCTGGTTTATGTTTACATTTCCAACATTTCTCTGACATATTTTTAAACATTTTTGCTAATCTTGTTGGTGGCAAGTGCCATCGATAGAACATTTTGTATAAGTTTTTTTATATGAAGCTGACATTGTCAATTTATACTTTCTTTCCCGCAAACTTTGCCACTTCTCTAAGTCTATATTACAGTGGTGGCGAACCTATGGCACGCATGCCAGAGGTGGCACTCGGAGCCCTCTCTGTGGGCACGCGAGATGGAGATGGCAACCATCCCTCTTCAACCAGTTGCCCACTAACTCGCCGAGGTCCCATGTGGCCGGATGCATCCCAGCACGGCTGGTTTCCCTCTCCCTGTCCCATTCCTCCTGGCCTTGCATGCTCTCCTTTTCCCGGGCACAACCCACTACATCACCTCCTCAGCTGTTGGCCGTCTGTCCAGCTCAGAGGCGGCTTCTCTGAACTTCTGGTGGCGGGCTGCGGAGCCCCAGAGTGTGCTAGTTGAGGGGCCAGTAGGCTGTGGATGCTGACAGACACTGTTGGTCCCCATGCGCTCGCTGACCTCTGTGTGCGGGGGGGGGGGCGATTGTATCAGCCAGCAGCCGCCCCGGCCCCTGCCTCGCCTTGCCCTGCGACAATGGCACCCCAGCCCTGCCTCACCTTACCTCGCCTCATCCCGCAGGACAAGATTCCTGCTCATTGCCCCACATGCCAGAGACCCCCAGTATCTCCCCCAACCCTGCCCGGCCCCCACAGGCGTCCCTCCCCACAAGCAACATCGAGGTGACTATGCCTACCTTGGCCACACCCACACAGTCTGCCATGACCACCACAGCGACACCCACCCAGTGGGCCATGCCCACTTGGCACCCGGTGATAAATAAGAGGGTTTTGGGTTACAGTTTGGGCACTCGGTCTCTAAAAGGTTCGCCATCACTGCTATATTATATCCAAAATTCTTTGCCCACACTATCATTGTCTCTTTTACTTGTTCATCTTCTATTTTCAGATTTAATAAGAAATTGTACATTTTTTAAATTAACTTTTCATCGGAAGTTAGTAATGTCTGGTCAAACATAGTCTGCTCTTTATAAAATCCATACTGTTTAATATCTTTGCCATGTCTCACTTGCATTTTAAATGTGACACCCATATTAAATCAATGCCCTGATTTTCCATCTCTTGCCTGGATTTTAAGTTCCCTTCAGAATTTAGAATATCTTTATATGCCCATATTTTATCGAGACTGACTAGATTTGAATGTACAAATGCTTCCATTGTTGAGAGCCAACCTGGAATTTTCAAATAGATTTTACATTTTATTTTTTCCCATGTTAATAGTGCATTTTTAATATGGTGGTTTTGGAAGTATTTATGTATTTTATTTTTTCCATACCATAAAAAAGCATGCCAACCAAGTTGTAGGTCATGCCCCTCCAAGAACAGCAATCTTTTATTTCTAAGAGTTATCCATTCTTTTACCCATGTTAGCACTGACGCTTGATAATATAAAACCCATTCTGGCAAGCCAAAATGTCCATTTCCCTTAGCTCAGTGGTTCTCAACCTGTGGGTCGGGACCCCATTTGGGGTCGAACGACCATTTCACGGGGGTCGCCAAACAATGCAGTCCGCCATTTTTTTCCCCTTTTCCTTAGCTGTGCTACTCCCTTTTATTCTATTGGCTTTTGAAAGCCAATAGAATAGACTCTCTTGAATAGAGTCTAATTCTATTGGCTTTCAAAAGCCAATAAGAATTGTCCAGGCTGTCTCTGCCCTGCTGAGCCTGCCAAAAGTCCCAGTTCTGCAAACGATGCTGCACCAGTTGAGTAGTCCTTGACTTACGACCGGTTGAGTAGTTCTCGACTTACGACCAATTGGGGGTCACGGCATTAAAAAGGTTGAGAACCACTGTTCTAGAGGAACCTTTAGAGACAATTCCTAAACTGTTGGAAAAGATAGAACAATCTGGAGAGGTAGCAGGATTAAAGATAAATAGAGAAAAAACTAAAGTGATAGTTAAAAATCTTACAGATAAACAAAAAAAATTTTTTCTATCAGAAAAAATAGAAATGCAAACAGTCAAAAAGATCAAATACTTGAAAATATATCTGACAGCAAGATGTTCAACAATAAAAGAAGGTAACTATATTAAATTGTTAAATCAAATAAAGCTTGATTTGGAAAAATGGAAGAATCTGCAACTGTTGATGTTAGAAAGAATTGCTACTGTGAAAATGAATATATTATCAAAAATTCTATTTTTGTTTCAAACAATACCTATAAAACTGGAGAAAAAAATTCTTTGAAGATTTAAGCTAATTCAAAAATTTATCTGGCAAGGAAAGAAAGCTAGAATTAAACTGAAAATGTTACAAGAAGCTAAGGCAGTGGTTCTCAACCTTCCTATTGCCGTGACCCTTTAATACAGTTCCTCATGTTGTGATGACCCCCAACCATAAAATTATTTTTGTTGCTATTTCATAACTATAATTTTGCTACTGTTATGAATTGTAATGTAAATATCTGATATGCAGGATGTATTTTCATTGTTACAAATTGAACATAATTAAAGCATTATATGTAATTAAATATTGTGAAATATTTATTTCTAACTACAAATAAATGAAATTTTGTCTTGAAGCATGGTGTAGCATGGGTAACAGTCTTAATATAACAACAGTAAACTACATTGCTACATTTTGCGACAGTATGCATAAAAAGCCAACGTCAGTGTGAAGGTTGAGATTGCTTCTTTCTCAGCGGATCAGAAATTCTCCGGGCACAATGAAGATCATCTTCCACAACAAGTCTACTTCTGTATTTAGACTTGATAACCAACAAGCTGGAAAACCCTGTTTCACAAAGATATGTTGTTGGAAATGGAATGTTCCTTGTTTTGGAAAATAAATTGACCCTCTCTTCTGTGGCAGCCCATCAAATACTGGAATACTACTATCATGTCTCCCACAAGTCCTTCTTTTCTCTAGACTAGCCAACTGCAACTAAGTCTCAACATCTTTTTTGTAGTGTGATGACCAAAATTGGATGCAGTATTTCAGGTGTGGTCCCGACTCAGAAAAGTCAGACACCAGTCTTGCCAGCCTTCTCTCGCAGCCCTGGTGGGGAATAGTGGGGCGGCTACCACTTTCCACCTCGTGCTGAACGAAGGATTCGGGGATGGATTTTAAGGAAAGGACGGGTCAAAGGAACGGAAAAAGAGGAGGGGGAGTTTGATGCTGTTACCTTGGTATCCACAGTGGGCCCCTCCCGATAGCCGATTCGCTTTTTGAAATGACTCAGGAAAGCGGGTTTGGCCGGCTTCACATATGAAACCTGATTCTTTTTGCTCGTGATTGAGGATTGAAGAGACAGCAGCTCCAATCACTCGTCCATTTTGCTTCCGCACATGTCACGTGGGAGGAGCTGTTCTCAGCGACTTCATTTCCCTACTTGCCAATGGTTGCGTCCATCTTGGCTTCAGGGCAGGAGCTGCAGCTGCCTGGGTGCCTAATTTAAAGAGGGTGCCACTTCAGCACTAAACGGAGACGGAACTGAAGGGGTGGGAAGAAGAGAATGGTGTCCGAGAGCACCAAATCAGGTGGCTAAGAGAGGACGACTAGTGGGAGGCTAAAATGGGTCTACACTGCTTTCTACATAGTAGTTGCTCTCTACTCATGTGTGATTGGTCCGCATAAGTACATCCGCCTGGAGACGGATAGAGGAACAATGTCTCAGTTCATAAGACCATCGGAAATATGTGTTTTCCAATGGTCTTAGGCGACCCCTGTGAAAGGGTCGTTCGACCCCCAAAGGGGTCGCAACCCACAAGTTGAGAACCGCTGGACTATCATTAATAGCTTCGCCTTCATCATGTCTGGGAAGCACAGGGCCCAGCAGGAGGCGTGGCTACTTTGTCAGACTTAGTCTAATTGGGCAGTCTAAACCCATTCGTGGATTCTCCATCATCATGCTGAGAAAAGGCGTTCAGGTAAGACAACACCCCTTTTCTGAGTGCCTATACTCCCAAAAACAAAAAAAGGCATTCCAGTAAATTCATCAGGCAAACAAAAAGAACAACAAGCTGAACAAGTAACATGATTACTTTATAACCCTCCTAATATTCATATCTCAGGTAATATTTTTCACAACTGGACTTTAAAGAACAGACTAGCATTCTGACAGTTGGTTCTCATACCTTAAAAGTTTCCAAGTTTAGTCTAGGAATAAGTACTGGCATGGCATAGCAATTACCATACTGCATTGAACTAGCTTGCAAAGACCTGAGAGAAAACTAAGATTGCTGTGAATGTCTTGGAGTTAAAGCAGATAGAAGAGGCAATATCTTTAAAGAAATAAGCATGGGTCAAGGAACAGAATTTTCCTAATTATTTTGTATAATTGTTTCAGGTATGTGCATAATTATTCCATGTACTTCTATTCACTTTCAGTCTTGCTCAAACACAATACTCTGTGTAAGTACATACATTCAATTAATCTAGAGAGGTAATGAAGGAGACTTGCCTGATCATTTGTAGGAGTGGCACATCAGACTGCATAATTTTATTTTGCTGGGAATTACTATCAAGGCCAGTGCGATTAAGATGAACAATGATGACTATCTAGATTAGTATTTTTCAAACTTGGCAACTTTAAGATGTTTGGATTTCAACTTTCAGAATTCCCCCGCCAGCATACTGGCAGTTGGTTCTTAAAGTTGCCAAGTTTGAAAAACACTGATCTAGATGAATCTGCTAATGTATGGCCTCTGCTAAATTCTGGGAGGAGAGCCAAGCCCATAAGAGAATAGCATAAGCTCCACAGCTCTTTCACAGGCAGCAACTACCTGCATAGCAGTATGTTCCACCAACTCCAAGAGCAGATCCAGCTTAAGCCCTGGAGGGATAACACCCTTGATTTCACACAGATATCAGCCAGCTCTATGAAAGATGATAAAGAACTAGCTCAGTTATTTGGCACCCTTTCTACAGAAGATCAAACAAATATGCAAACTTGAGGCAGTTAAATCAATGCGTTTGTCAGTGTTTTCTTAGCATCTTACCACTGCCCTCCTGTTCATTTTCTGAATGCCAAAAACCACACCAAAAAAGGCACTTCCGCCCAAAATTCACCCAGAGAAATGAAGGGAACATCAGGCTGAACAAATAACACAATCTCTTCATAATCTCTAATCCCTCAAGTGATATTTCCTCACAGCTGGACTTTAAAGAACAGACTGTCAAACTGCAGTCCCACTTCCACTGGCTTCCCCTTGCATTGGTCCTGAGACTATTCATCTAATGGCTACCCCATCTACAACTTGCCTTCTATTCTTGCAAGTGTATTCTTTTCTTTTTCTTTTTATAAATATTTTGTTGGTTTTTAAATGTAACACTGCCTGGTGTATAGCCTAAGTACTTCAGGAGAAAATATTAAATGTGGTGTCCTCTGTCATTTTTTGATATGTATGTGATATCCATGTTGTCTCCCTCCCTTCGAATGATCTTTCATCAACGTTTTTATTCAAGAGTCAATTTATCAGTCAATCAAAATTACAGTTCAGTGTATTAAGCTACTTTAAATCCTTCTTGTAGATTCTCCTCTAAAAAATTAGCCAAAGGCCAAGGTTTTTCTTTTCCATAAACAGTTCTTAAACATCAGTCCAGGTGCTGTTTTCCTTTCAGACACTTTTTAATCTTATCGCTGGCTCTTCCTTTGTTCCCAGCTGTCTTCAAGGTGATTTGCAATTCAAAGGAACAGCTTTTTCTTTATTTCTGGGCATTCTGCCAATTTCTGAGTCCTTATTGTTAGTATTCTATACTCTGATTTTCCACTAGATGTCAGCAATTATTTTTTTTTCAATCAAAAATTTATTTTTGTTATATATTTTTAGAATTCCATCAAAACTCTTTAGGGTATAATCTTGACAGTTTTTTAGTTCCTAAATTTGTCCAGACTGTAGTATTTTAAATTGAATTTTAATATATCTCTTTCCTCACTAATATTAATTTGCCGCTTCCATCTATAAAGGAATGGGGGTATGGTCCCCTACCTTCACTTCCGGAAGTTTTCTTGCTTTGGGGATCTTTCTCAAGGATTCAATTAGTAGATAGAAGAAAGAAGATCAATACTCTCATCAGTTCCAAGTACGCTGTTCGCTGATGTTCAGGTTTGTGCTCTCGGACTTCGGCTGCATGTAGGTTGGGCTAGATGCTGATCTCATGCTAGCCTTTCTCCTGTCGGGTCGGAGGGCTTCTCCCAGATCAAACAAAGTTTGATTGCTTCTTCACGGTCACCTCTTCGTGGTGACTTTGGACTCATCTAGGGTCCCCCTGGCAGGACGAAACTAGCCGTGGGGAACAGAGGTCTGGTCTCACATGGCCATGTGCTACGGACGTAAAACCGGAAGTCCCGCAAATGCATTCTTTTCAAAGAAGCCCTGAACATGGCTAACATATTCCTCTGACCCCCAATTTGGGCCTACTTTTCTTTCAGTGAAACTTCTCCTATGGAATTGCCACAGACTCAGGAGATTAGTCACCCTAACTGGCAGCAGGCAGTTTGGTCTCCATCTTCTTCCTCAGTCTATAATCTGCTCATTTCAAGTGTTCATTTTTCTGTTCATTTATCTAGAGTCAGCACTCCAAGGGAGAACCAGCCAACTGACAACTACATCCTGCAGTGTTCTTCCTGTCCTCTCTTGGAACATAGCCAGGTAGGTCCCAAAACAAGAAGACCAAGACTTTATAGGATTCTTGACTAAATTTGATATAATCTTTTTGCAGGAGACATGGATTTGGGGGGAATTCTCAATCCCAGCTATTTTTCTCTGCTAGACTTTTTACAACCTAACTTTGGAAGTGGCAGACCTAAGGAGGCTTGGTCTGTTTATACTTACAAAATATGTGTCCAAAATGTAAAACAATTACCTCAGTTTGAAAATGCTGAATCAGTTTTGTTAGTCTTTGACTAATTTTCTTGATTGTGTATTAATTTCTATCTTCCTCCTCAACATCTCCAGTTACAGGTAACACAAATGAAGCTGTGCACACACGCACCTGCCCCTTGCAAAACACCGCTCCTCAGGCCGCCAACCAAGAAAGGTTGGGGAATGCTGCTCTTACCTGTCCTGAAAAGCTATTGTGTCACCATTTATGTCTAGATCCTACAAAGATACAAAAAATAAAGTTAGCTGGCTTTAGGCTGCTACATCTCATAAATAGGAATAAGCTACAAATGTTAAATGCTCTGTCCAATATGATTAGCCTGGGCAATTTACTTTTTGGTCAGATCACAAGTTATCTACCATAGATTATTTAATAATTTCCAGAAAACTAGGCCTTGCCTTAAGGTTTTGGCAGTCTCCAGGACTGAAAGTGATTATCTCCCTTTAATTTGCAAAATTAGGCAAGGTCTCATTAGAAACCAAGTTAAGACCTCTTTTAAAATGCCTGACGAGAGGCAACTATTACATGGTCAGATGGAATTATCCCCTTGAAGATCAGATAACCCAATGGTTTCACTTAGAGGAAGGAACTACATATTTTTCAACGTTCTGTAATTTAGGGGCATACTCGGACTCAACCATCTCACAAGAAAGTAGAATACTTGACATATGTCATGATCTCTTAGTTAAGCTGTTACGTCTGCCTCATTCAAATCCTAAGAAAGAAAACTCCTAACTCCATGGATTTAGAGAAGAATGAACTGATAGTAATAAAAGCAAGGCAAGATCTGAATAAAATCTGTGCTAAAGTTATACATTGAAAGTGTCTCCAAATCCCTCCACCCAGAGTCCAGCTCAGGCAGACCAATCAACTTCCAATGTGATATGAGAAACCCTCTTGAGCAGATGGTGTATGCCTCCAGAGGCCCAAGACAGTTGGCATTGGTAATGTCTATAAACAACTCCACTTCATTGATGGGTAGCGATCCTCCCTTCCATGGGAGTGTCCATGGGAACACTTCACATGAGCTCACTTCCCCACCCCAAATGCCAACCCCCCATTACTATGGCAGCCAAAGGCAAGCCAACCACAAACTGCAAGCTGGAAATCTGGCTGACATTCGCTCTCCCCCTTTCGATAGAGGCATTAGCCCTAAAAAAAGAGTAAAAGACATAAGAGAAAACAATACAGAAAGTCAGTTAAAGAACACTGCTTAGCCCAGATTTATCAGAATATTTCTTGTGAAATGCCTGAAAGAGTCTAGGGGCCCGAAAATTGCGGGCATCCACCAATTCCAATTGTGAAGGTGCTTCCATGCCACTTTCCTTTTATACTTTCCAGAGTCTTAAAAATTTCTTGATTTCAAAATGCTGTTCCTCCTCTGTCAGAATGGGCACAGGAAGTGTGGGATGAGTGGGGCAAAAAGGAGACACCTTTTCAGGACTGAGCAGATTACAATGAAATAGGGTGGATCTGTCGAAGATTCTTTGGTAGCTCCAATTGCACAGTAACTGGGTTTATAATTTTCACAATTGGGATTGATCCTACATATTTAGATCCCAATTTCTTTGATGTTGGGGTAGTCTGTAAGTACTTTGTGGATAAATAGACTTTAGCGCCCACTTGGAACACTTTTAGCTTCACCTTTATCAGCCTGCTTCTTATGGGCTTGATGTGCATCTTCCAAGGCCTTACATGTTACTGGCTAGATTTGTTGAAGCTATTTAATCCATTCCACCAGCAAGGGGGTCAGAGGCGGCTCTTGGGGCAGTTCTGGTATGGGAAATCCTGGCCAGAAGCTGCCTTGAAAGGGTGAAACCAGTCTACTATGTACTGAATTATTATAAGCAACCTCTGCCAATGGCAGTAGGTCAGCCCAGTTATCCCACTGATAATTCACATAGCACCTAAGGTACTGTTCCAAAACTGAGTTAGCATGTTCACACATCTCATTGGTTTGTGGGTGATGGGCAGAACCTAACCCCTGGGCGGAGCCTAATGAGGAATTCCTGCCCAAACTGGGAAGTGAAATCTATCTGAGATGATGTGGTCAGGAACCCTGAGTAACCTATACATGTGTTGAATAAAAAGTCTAGCAAGCGTTTTAGCTGATGGGATCTTAGAGCAAGGAGCAAAATGTACTTGTTTGGGAAAAAAATCCATAATGACCCAAATAACCGTGTTCCCCCCACTTTAGAACAGCTCTGCTATAAAGTCAATGGAGATTTCCTTCCATGGGGTCACAGGGCTAGCCACACTCTGTAAGAGTCTGCTGGGCTTTCCCAGAGGCCACTTAGTAGCTGCACAGATGAGATAGCAACATAGGTCTCAATGTCTTTTTTCAACAAAGATTACCAAAACTGCTGCTTGATCAAGTGCAAAACGAAAGTGACCAGCAGTTTTGGAATCATGGGCCCACTGTAGGTTAGGACCCTTAGATTGGTGGGTACGTACAGTGTGGCTCCAATCCATGCCAAGGTCTCTCTAATGGAGCAGTCATTGGAATGGGACAAAAACCACTCATCACTTTTTAATGCTCCTTTCAACTCTATGCACAACTCACTGGGAAGCTCAGGCTCCATTTTTTTTTTTTTTTTTTTTTTGGAGCCCTAGAAGTCACTAGAGCAGCCAAATGCTTAGAAGAGATAACTGGCCGGATTACTTCAGGTCTAGCAGTGTAATACTGAGACAATCTGGATAAAGCATCAGTCATGGAGTTTATCCCCCCAGGGATATAACTCAGCACAAAATTGAAATAATTAAAGTATTGTGTCCATCAGACTTGCTTAGGGACAATTTCCTTCAGATTTTCAAGGCTTCCAGGTTTTTGTGATAAGTCCACACCTCAAAGGGTTGCTTAGCTGCTTTCAGGAAATGCCTCCAAGTTATCAATGCCCATCGCATAGCAAATGCTTCCTTCTCCTAGATTGCCACCTCTTTTCAGTTTCAGTTAACCTTTTGGAGGTGTAACCACAAGATTGTAAAAATCCCTCGGCATTCGCCTGCAATAACATCAGCTTGGATCTTAAACGAAGCATCAGTTGCAGGGTGTTTTAGCACCGACTTGGCAGCAAACAGTCACTTGAGTTTTCCAAACACTGCCAGGTGTTCTATCGACCACTCGAGAGGCTGGCAGGGCTTAGGCTTACTCTCCCCCTTCATTTTTAAGAGGTTGGTAATGGGCAGTGCAATCTTGGCAAAGAAAGAGATGAATTGCTGGTAAAAATTCGCAAACCCAAGGAAGCTCTGTAATTTGGGAGGGCACTCAGTCCAAAACCACCTGCACCTTTTCAGGTCCATTTCTATTCCCTCATGAGATATGCGAGAGCCCAAGTAATCAATTTTGTCTTGATGGAATTCACACTAGGACAATTTAGCATAAAGTATGGCGGACCTGAGTTTCTTCAGAACCACACGCATTAACTTCATGTGCTCCTCCATAGTTTCCGTGTACATTAGAATATCATCTAAGTACACCAGGACCCCTTTGTAAAGATATTCATGCTGCACCTCAATGATCAATTGCATGAAAACAGAGAGTGCCTCTTTAACCCAAACAGGAGCACACGGAACTGGAAACAACGCAATGGGCAGTTGAAGGCCATTTTTCATTCATCTCCCTCTTTGATATAAACCCTGTAGTAAGCTTTCAAATCCAACAGTGAAAATTCTCCCTTTGGCTAAATATGCCAGCATATCTTTCATCAGAGACAACAGATAAATATTCTCCACACAGACAGCATTTAATCCTTTGTAATCAATGCAGAGGCAAAGGATGCCGTCTTTTTTCCTTCCAGAATAACACTGCAGCAGCCACACGTCTGGCTGGATAGATGAAACCTCGTTTCAAGTTCTTGTAAATAAAGGTGCACAACTCATCCAGCTCATGCTGAGTCACCAAATAGATTTTTGGCTTGGGGAACTTTGCCCCAGGGAGGAGTTCTATACTACAGTCGGTGGGGCGGGAGCGCATCAGATCACGTCTCACTGAACGCTTTCCTTAAGTCCCAGTATTCCCTCAGGATTTTCTCTTCTCCCTTGGCAAGTTCCTATACAGCAACCCCCAATTCCTTTGTCATGTTGGTTCTTTTGGCTTTGTGTGAGGGATTCTTCCCTCTCTGCTGGCAGATAACTGATTTTTAGGAGCCCTTTTCTCCAATTTACAAGATGGTTCCACTTGTGGAGCCAAGTCAGTCCAAGTAAGAGGGGTCTTTCTATCTTGGGTGCTACTATAAAACTCAAGAGCTGTTTGTGGCTAGCCATCCTCATTTCCACAGGCTCCATTACGAAGTGACCCTGGGCTCCCCCTGCCACTGACCCATCCAATTGGCAGAAGGTTAAGGGCGCCCTCAGTCTTCTCAGTCTCAGTCTTAGTTTCTTTATGACTTCCAAGCTAACTACACACCTGGTGCAACCCGAATCCAATAGGGCCGACATCCTCCCCTAGGTGAGAGCATCACTATCTCCACTGGGATGAGGGCACCACTATCTCTGCTGGGATGGTCACAGTGGTTACATGTCGACTTACCAGTGGTTCGTCATCAGATTCACTTTCCTCTGGTGAAGTAGGAGCTCCACCTCTTTCAGGGCCATTTCATGGAGCCTTGGCAGTAGCTTCTCAACTTTCCTATACCCTGGAACTGCAGGTTTGGGGCTAGGTTTTGCTGAGTGACAATTGGTTGCTGACCATTTGTAACAAAGTGAATATCAATCTGATCAGAAGGGGACTGTACTCTTAAGAGTTAGTTTGATAAGTCCTGCATCACTG